CTGTTAACAGGACAGGTCGTCTCTGCCCATTCCCCCCAGCACATGAGGAGGGACAGTCCCAGCAGCCTCTTCCTCCCCATCCCCTGCCCGTCCCCCCGGGACTCACGAGGAGTTGTAGCTGCTGCCGTCCACCCACTGGAACCTCTCGCCCCTTCTGCGCAGCCCGAGCCAGTAATCTGTGTTGCTACTGAAGTGGAACAGGAAGCGCTGGGAGGAAGAGAGGAGTGGGCAGTGAGAGCTGCCCCAGCCTCCCCTCTGCCACTCACACCCCCAGAGCCCCTCACTCACCATTGCCTCGTCGCTGAGCACGGCCAGGGAGGCCCCAAGCTCGGAGCAACGATTCTGAGCCCCTTTCCAGCTCTCCTGATCTGTCGAGAGGTTGTAACAGACCCTGTTGTATCCGATCCAGCCCTCGGGACAGGCCAGAAACTGTCGATCCTTAGGTGTAACTGGATTCTCTCCATGACTTCCTACTCTCTCTCCTACTGGAGAGAGAAAGGGAGAACGTCTGAGGATTCCCCTCCACAGGGAGCCCCAACCCTGTGCCCAGAGCTGCCTCTGTGCCAAGACAGCCGCTCCTTCCTCACCTGCCGAGGCAGCTGCTCCTTCCTTACGTGCCAGCACAGCCACGGCCACCACCAAAGGCAGGATCACTAACACTGACAGGGCCAGCACCACGGTGAGCACCGGGTGGGATCTGAACCAATTGCCTGGAGCTGGAAAGAGCCACTGGCCGTGAGGACGGGGCTGTCCCGAGCAGGCCCAGCCCTCACATCCCAACACCGAGGCAGCCAGAAGTGTCGGCACCAGCCACTGACGGGGCCCAGAGGCCTCTTGCAGACCTCTGGAGCAGCCTCACACTTGCCAGCCCTGCCCTGGTGGGGCGACCCTGTCCCCTCCCTACAGGACACAGGTGGCCCTGCACTCACCCTGACATTTTCCAGGGGTCCTTCTGTGTATATTCCTTGTTTCTGTTCCATTCCGGAGACTCAGGGACTCCTCTGCACTCCTACCATTCCTGCTGCTTCCACTCTCCATATCTTGAATCACTTCAAAGTTAGGAGAGGCACCTTCCTGACTGGGACAAGCTACATCTTGAACCTGAGCCATCGCTAGGGGTGAAAAAAAACTTCTTTGAGTGCAGATTAAATGTGAGCATTGTGTCAGACTGTAGAGAACAGTCCAGAGAGGGACTGGGAACTCATTTATCCCAGGTACTGTGGGATGAGGGACCTGGGCAGCGTTTCTGACTGACAGAGGCTCAGCAGCCAAGGCTGCACCTGGACTGCCAGTGCCTTCCCCGTCTCACGCCGCGCCGCCCCCTCCGGCTATGCCGCCGCGCCCCGCCCCGCCGCCCGGCCCGCCGCACCGCCCGGCTGGCTCACAGGGGGGACGAGGGGAGGGAAGGGGGGAGTAGAAGAGTGGGGAGGGGGGGAAGGGGAGGCAGGGGAGGGAATGGGGGAGAAGGGGATGAAGGGGGTGAAGGGGGGGAGGGGGGAGCGGGGGCGGTAAGGGGGGGGAGGAAAGGGATGGGGGGGGAGCGATGGGGCTGCGCGGGGCCGGCGCGGAGACCCGGTGAGAGCTCCAAACACTTCACCCCCAGTGCCCGCCAGAGCCCCCTCCCAGCACCGCCGACATCCTCCACCCAAGGCAGGACGAACCCTCCAGACCCCCCCTTTTCGCCCCCTCCCGTTCCCCGAGCCCCGGCAGCACCGAGCGGATCCCACCTGCGCCTGGACCACGCGATCCCGCAGTGTGCGGGGCCGCTTCTCCGCCGGCTGCTCCGCCCC